GCATTCTGAGAGTGTTTCCATACAGACACATGCATAAAAAACATTGTCAGGTTGATAAGGTCAATCAAAGGTAAGACCGTAGGGTATTCTAGGTACTATATACCCTGGGCATTCTGAGTGTTTGCATACAGATGCATACATAAAGAGTGACAACATGCTTTGTTCAGTAACTTGAATCAATAATTGAGAGCCACAAAACTGCAACATGGATATTAATATTAGCCTCATTAACTGTTTACCCAGAACACCCTTTCATCTTAGCTTCAATAATGTGCTATCTTAGATACCATGGTCACTCAAATTAACTTTTCGTACACCTTAATCAATTGCAGACTTTCCTTTTCAAATATACATTAGGGAAACCATATTCAGATCCCAAACATTTATGAAACTTTTTTAAATCCTAGAATAGTGCACACTAAAAACTAGATTCAAAATGTGCGCGCATTTCTAGTCTTTACACTGAAGAAGGTCTGAGATCAGACCAAAACATCTGTACAATGTCTCTTAAGAATAAGCCAGAGTCTACTAATCTAATTAAGATTTTTTCTGTTTTGTTGGAAAATGGGAAACCATTACACCTAAGTGAAAAAGATCTATTTTTGAGCAGCCATTGTTGTATGCATCACAGCTGCCACTACAATCTCTGAAAGGAGAAAGCTCTACAATTTGATTGCAGATTCTCAAACTTCTTCTATATCGATGATCAAAGAACAAAACATTTCACCATTCCAACTCCACTGGATATTTCCCAGTCAAACATGCCGTACAGTGTCCAATCTTCCTTTCTTTCTGTAAAGTGATCCCAGATTGAATTGCATTGACAAGTCCTTCAACACTCAAATACATCAGACTATCAGCACCTACTTGAGAGGCAAGTTCCTCTGGGCTCAGCTTGTTGGCAATTAGTTCTTCTCTAGTTGGGATGTTGACTCCCATGTAGCATGGATACTTCAGTGGGGGAGAAGCAATGCGAATATGCACCTAAAATGGATAATATTAATTAGTATAATCAAACTAGTGGACTATCCTGATTGGTTAAATGAATAAATAAATCGTCCTGRTTTTACGAGAGTAGCACTTAATTGGCCAGTGGCCAACAACCAGAAATTGAACCCAGGTCGCATTGGTGAGAGCCCAGCTCTCTCACCCCTGAACACCCATGCTTTCCAATGGTTAATCTTCTAGTGATCTACAGTAYAGACCTCGGAAACTTTTCCCATGAGTTAGATGACCATGGTTACTGTAGGTGGTCCTGTCTCATATGATACTTYAAACAAAGAATCACAAATTTTTCATTGCTTGGTAGGGACTGTAAAGTGTCACTCTCTAAACAAAGACCATTTTTATTGTCAATATTACTATTGTTATTTATTATTATTATTATTTAATAGAAAAACTCACCTCCTTAGCACCAGCTTGTTTTAACAGTTTGATAATGGGTCCAATGGTGTTACCTCTCACAATAGAGTCATCAACAAGAACCACTCGTTTACCCCTGAAATTCTCTGAAAGAGGCCCAAATTTTTTGTTCACACCAAGTTTTCGAAGTCTGTTGGAGGGCTGGATGAATGTTCTTCCAACATAGCGATTCTTGGTCAACACTTCAATATARGGAATGCCAGACTGCAAGGAAAAGCCCAAGGCTGCTGGAGTAGCTGATTCTGGTATWGTACTCACAACCTCAGCTTCTACTGGGGCTTCTATAGCAAGCTGGATTCCACTGCGCTGCCGWGCAGAATACACCATCTGACCTTCAAACATGCTATCTGCACGAGCAAAGTAGACATACTCAAATATACAGAATGCTGGAAGATCGTCAGTTTTGGCAGGTGGTATTATTCCCAGTGATTTTGGTCCTTTTGGAGTCAATTGTACTATCTCTCCAGGATTCACTTCGTACATGAGGACAGCGCCAATAGAAGGAAAGCTACATGATTCTGAAGATGCAATCCAGCTTAGAACTTCATCTTGTGAATGAAGTCTACTTTGAACATCAGAAAGGCTGTTGAATCTCTTTAACTGTGGGCTGTAAGAACTACATGTGCGCTTCAACATTCCAATGCAGAGAGGTCGGTTACCATAAGGATCTCTGACAGCATATACACAGTCTTTTGTCATGATTACAAGCGAGTAAGAGCACTGGGTCTGGTTGGTGAGATACTTGATTCTTGCCACCCAATCAGGTCCTTCGGGTTCTCCACAAGGTGGACGTGCCGTCAATAACTGGGTTATAACTTCACTATCACTACTAGTCGATAACCCCATCCCTTGACGAAGTAATTTGTCCCTTACAGACTTTGCATTAATCAATTCACCATTGTGCGCAACAGCTATATGACTATAAATAGTGTCCACCACAAATGGCTGACAGTTTATCAGTTCCGATGACCCTGCCGTWGAGTAACGGGTGTGTCCTATTCCCATGTTACCTTTAAGCTTCTTTAGTTCTACTTCACCAAACACGTTAGACACAAGACCCATCCCTTTGTGTGAGTAGAATTCATTACCACAGTTTGTTACGATGCCAGCACTTTCTTGCCCTCTACAAATAAAGCAGAAAGTAAGTACCAGGAATGATAATTTGAGTGTTGTATTTTGTACTATCTAATTGTACTTTATTTTGTCTTATTCCAGATTTTGTTTCAAATTCCAAGTACTTAGACCTAACTTGAAGGTTAGTAATAAYTTCTGTCATGAGGACTCGATATTTTATATTCAACACCATCTCATGCATAACATGTGTCAAAATTAATGTTGTGATGAAAATAAGAAAGATACAAGAAAGCAAACTTACTAAGGCTGCGTCCATAATGTATAGCAGGGTGGGCGGGGGGCAGGTGAAATTGAGGGGGGATCGGGAAAATTTTGGTAGGAAAAAGGGGGGATGGGAAAATTTTTATCAGAAAAATGGGGGAATGCACAATTTTTGGAAGATGCTACAAGCCTTGCCCTCTGCCATACATTATGAACGCAGCCTAATGTCTGGGAATGATTTCAGAAAACGGTTACCCAGACACACACACTCCAAGAATGGTATGTTGTTGGTAGGCAACATCGACCAGATCAGACAAATTATGCTAAACTGCCAAAGCTATGACAGTATTGTATTTGAGCACACACTCGTTAGATGTTGAAAATCATAAATATTATGAATATCAAGAAACGTTTTTGTACCTTAATCTCATTAGGACATAAGTTTAACATTTTTAAATTCCGGTATGTAAGCTTCTATACTCACACTAGTTTTTAGCTAGTTATATCCTTCTATACTTTGATCAAATTAGTTTAGAATTCTGAAAGTCGAGACATACCGGTGTTGAAGCCCAACTAGACCAAGGCAGATCGTATTCGCTACATCAGCGTCTGCCTCAGATATCCCTTCAGCAGTAACACAAGCGAAAACGCCACAAGCTTTCTGTAATTTTCTTTCATCATACTTGTCGGCCATCTTAGTTCCTTAGTATGACAAGCTGAAAAACCTGTTTACGAAGTCAAAACAAGACGAACAAAATGAAATAAGCTTGTAGGTGAAGAAGTGATCAAAAACGTGGACTTGATGACAAMAGCATGAAAAAAACCGGAAACCTAGAAATTTTGGTTCCAAAATGGTTTCATTGAAATTCATTTGGAAGACATTCACATTTCAGAGGGACTGGAACGTGCGTTCTGATTGGTTCGATTTTYCCCGCCAGGTCATCTGATTGGTTGATCATTGGCATAAATCTTCATCTGTGTTATGCACGAGGATCGAAGATAGAAGTTCAGAAGTCTTTAGACGAATTCTTAAGTATTTCTTACTTTATTCCTCTCTCTTTGCGGATTTGCTCGAGTGTTCTGGTAATCTAAACGTTCAAGATGGCATCTAACGAAGAAAAACCAGCGTACGGTAAGAAATGATATGATTTTTTTGCAGAACTACGCGTACGAAATGGCGCCGGTCGCTCGCACCACGTGGGCTGATGAAGGTTTCATCATTTCGGGATGCAGAATAATTTAAATCATGAATCAAAAATTGTGGTTTGGAATGATTCATATTGAACTTTGAGTGGAAATTTTAAGCTTATACTGCGAGTAAAAAGATTTACGTAGATAACAGAGGGGTCAGAGGGGAAAAAATACAAGGTTGATTGGTCAGCTTGATTGTGAATCAAACATATTTACAGTCAAAAGGCTCAAGCTTACTTTCCTAGGTTAAATTAATGGTTTCATTATTTTACTATTGACACTTATTATTCTGTATAAGAAAAATGTAAATTAAAAGGGATTAAATATAATAACCAATTCAAAACTCGAATTCTGATTGGATCATGGTATTCCTCATATGGAATACCARTCAGAATACTCCAATTTTGAGTTGGCCTTTGCGCAGTCTTAGCCTCGATTGTGTACAAATGTGTTCTTTTCTTTCATTAAGGTCCATCTTATACTAAGGAATGCACATACTTCGGAACAATATGTGTTGATTAAGATGGCATGGGATTTGGTTGAATGGTTGGATATTATAACGTACAACTGTGGCTGAGCAAAGAGAACTCGAAACTGGAGTATTTGAGTTTTGAATCGGTTATTATTTTGAATCCCAAGTCTTTGTATTCTCCGAAAGAATAATAAATTCCAGTATTTGAATAATAAAAGCATGAATGAATCTACATGTAAGGGGGTAAGCTAGAGCCGTTTTGACTGTAAATAGACAGGATATGTCCCTCTTAGTTTACCACAAAATAATAAATTTAGTAATTCATTCATATCAAGAAATAATATCAAATATTTATACTTTACAGAACTGAAGTTGGGTGAAAAAATAATCGAGGGTAAAACCAAGATTGTTTATGCACTACCAGAATCCCCTGATGGCAATTATGTGCTTCTCAAGTCCAAGGATAAAATCACTGCTTTTGATGCAACCCGCAAGAATGACATGTCTGGTAAAGCAGTCTTAAGTACTGCAACAGCAAGTGCTATATTTGAGCTGCTTAATAAATGTGGTATCAAGACACATTTTATTAGGCGTTCTGATTCAGATCCTGAGGCGTTTGTGGGTATACGTTGTGAGATGATCCTTCTGGAAGTGGTCACTCGTAGAATTGCGACAGGGTCTTTTCTGAAGAGGTATTCTGGTGTGAAAGAAGGTTATAGGTTTACGCCAGTGAAGCTGGAAATGTTCTTGAAGGACGATGCTCAGCACGATCCTTTCTGGACTTATGAACAATGCGTTGAAGCAGGCTTTGTGTTTGGTGGAAGAACAATTGGCAAGCGTGAGTTAGATATGATGGGCGAGACAGCTATTGCAGTCTTTGAAATCATCGAAAGAGCTTGGGCTACCTTAGACGTTGCATTGGTAGATATGAAGATAGAGTTTGGGGTGAATGCCAAGACAGGAGAGATCTTCCTTGCCGATGTGATTGACAATGACTCATGGCGCATATGGCCCAGTGGTGACAAGAGGCTCATGCGAGATAAACAGTTTTATAGAAACTTGCCAGAAGTCACGCCCGAAGCCTTGGAACAAGTTAAGAAAAACTATTCTTGGGTAGCAACAGAAATTCAGAAGATGACTACACACCAACCAGGACATGTTGTCATCTTCATGGGTTCCCCAAGTGATCTTGACCACTGTAAAAAGATTGAAGCAGCTCTAAAGGTGTTCAACCTTTCCTGTGACCTTCGAATCTGCTCAGCTCACAAAGGAACTGAAGATGCACTCAAAGTACTAAAGGTGTACGAGGGACAAGGAGAACCACTAGTTATCATTGCCGTAGCTGGACGTAGTAATGGTCTTGGTCCTGTGTTGTCTGGAAATAGCTCATTTCCAGTCATTAATTGCCCACCTGTATCCAGCCAATGGGGTGCTGAAGATGTGTGGTCTTCCATGCGACTGCCTTCTGGACTTGGCTGCACAACTGCACTGAATCCAGATGGAGCTGCTGCTGCAGCCGCACAGATCCTAGGTCTCCATGATCATATTGTCTGGGGTAGCTTACGTGCAAAGAGGCTGAACATGGCTATCAGTCTCAGTGATGCTGATGCAAATCTTAGAAAGAAAAAATAAACTTGACAACATAGTTATGATAACGAACCGTTCAATTACAGCTGTAAAACAAGACATTTGCTTCAATGTTTTTGTAAGCCTTTTAGGACCATTTATTTGTAGTTAAACTGTTAAACCTTGCTGTGTATAACAATATTCATCTGTACAGACATGTACAGTACTGGCATCATAAAATAAGGTAAAAATAAAGTTAAAATAAAAATTTGGATTGCATAAATTATTGGTGTTTTTTAATTGGCTTTATTTAATGAAAAAATATCATATTATTCTGTTTTGACAGTGGTTTTCATATTTAGTACTATTACACTTGAATTCTTTCATTTTCTATTGTGTTTATCCGACTTTATGAAATAACTGTTATGAATCTTGCGTTCTAATTAGTCTGGAGAATTTGCTTTATGAGAGCACTTTCAGTTGAGTCTTTCCTATCCAAAATAATGGTTATTGTGATTAACTGTGTATCATAAAAGAAATTTAAAAACTTGCTTGCTCACAGGTAGTCCAAGCTTGGTTTCTGTGCTGTCATGTTACAAGGAAATATATGGGGGTTCTTCAAAAATTTCAATAAAATCATTGAAAMGTGAAATAAAGCCTCAAAATTTTACCTGATCATTGAGAAATAGCACTTCTTTCGCTCTGTGTGGTTATTTTTTCTCAATGATCAAGTAAAATTCAACAGAGCACTCGCACATTTTCTTAAATCACTCTAATTAGGTTGGTACATTTTGTTTCATGGGTTTATGGAAGCCTCTCTAATTTTTTCAATCTCGGTACTATTTATTAGTACTTGCATTTAGGTAAATAATTTTCCCTTCTCGGTCACCCTGTGTTAAGACGTGATGTTCAACGGAAATAACAATGATCAGGTGATACTGCACATGACTATCACCACCAAGGGTTTTCCCTAAGGATAATAATTTCATCACCAGTCTTCCCTCGAAAGTTGGCACTGCACCTAAATAAAACGACCACGTACTATCCCCGTATCATCATTACACCTTCCCACACTCTTGAATAACTGGATTTGCCTTTTATATCAATATCAATACTGTCAAAAAAAAAAAAAAAAAAACCAGAGTTCACAACAACAAAAGAGTACCAGTTTTATCAGACCTTCGATATCCGTTCTTTCTTTTACGACCACGTGCTATCCATTCGTTGTTCTTGAAGACTTTGATCGTCGGTTAAAGTCTTAAAAACAAACAACATCCTTCTCGCATTACACATCGCCTTACAGTGGACTTTTGGACCTCGAAAGCTGTAGTTACTAATCATGGAGTACGAAAACGATGGATGTCTACACGAAATGTTCGTTAAACAAGCGCGAAAATCCCCCAAAGCTCAAGCCGTTGTTTGTGATGATGGCCGAAGTTTAACTTTTGAAGAACTCGATGAAATAACGGATATTCTGGCTTTGAATCTTCGTCATAAAGGTTGTGGAAAAGACCAAGTTGTTGGGATTTACCTGGAAAAGTGTCTTGAGTACCCAATTGTTTACATCGCTGCGTTGAAAGCTGGAGGTGCTTACATGCCTCTCGAGTTGTCTTATCCTGAACCTTTGCTTAATTCTATTCTGGAAGATGCTCAACCAGTCACTGTTGTAACCACTGAGGACCTTCGAAACCGTTTACCAGAGACCTTTCCTGCTATTGTGTTGAGCAAAGGATGGGAAGAAAGGCTGAAGAAGGAAAATGGAAGGCTTGGAAGTCTTCCACCAGTTGATTCATCTCTCGATGACCTCGCATATGTGGTGTACTCATCTGGAACGACTGGAAAACCGAAAGGTATTAAGAATATTTCGTTTTTCAAAATAATTAAACTCATATTTTATTACTAAATAACATTTATTTTTACCAATTCATAGAATATCTGTAAGTGTGCTAGTAAGAATATAAAAACATTGAGATCAAAAATTTAATTTAAATTCTGTTAAACTAACTATAAAAGCTATGATTTAAAATTTTTACTTGTTTTAGGGCTGTAAAGAGTAATTTTCTCAAAAATACTCCTTTAAAATAATGAAAGATTAATGACTGTCCTTAAGAGAAGATTGCTTTTTCTGATTACTGAACAACAATCCTATACATAATTTATTTTGAAACTTTGATTGGATTTTTCCTTTTATTCTCATTTTCTCTTTTACTTTTTCAACAACGACAACAAAAATAGTATTACAAACTTTATGAAATTGTGTTTTCTCATTTGGAAAAAAATTCTTAATAAAGAACCACTACAAACCCAAAACACAAGAAAAGGGATTATTTCCATAGAATGAATTTTTTATCATTCTTATTGTAATTAATATATTTTAATGACTATTGAAATGTAATTTACTGCGAATTTTTATGATGTTGAATTAGGATTGATAGCCCCTCTTTAGCTTCAGAAGTGTTTTCCTCTTATTTCAAGAATGATTAAATTAAAGTATTGATAAAAAGTTAGATTATATTTTTATGAAGAACTAATTACATTTAATTGTACGTATGTCCTATGATTAATTCATATTCCTTATCATACCATGTTTAGCCCTTCTAAGCTTTACTTTTATTATTATTTTTGGATAACATGCAGTCAGAAATAATGTCTCATTGTGTATATATGAATTCTGTGTGCACAGAAATGGTTTGTCCAAACTAGTATAAATGTGACAGCATGTGAGACAAATATTGGACCTATCTTAGTCTTTACTTTTTTTTTCAAAACATTTTTCCACACAATGAATGAATACCTGCATAAAGGAAAGCATGTC